GCTTCTGAGGAGCGGCCGCGGGAGAATGGAGATGCCCTGCCTCGGGAGGGGTCCCTGGGTCCCCTTCCAGGCCCTTCTGCCCAACCTCACAAAGGTGAGCGGGGTATGCTCAGCTGCATGCTCCCCCATCAGCAAACCTCACTCCTCACACTGGCCTGTGGCTGGCAGGGCTCTCGAGGGCAGCCCCATGCTCCTTCCACCTGCTCCTCATGGCACCCGCCCTCCGGCCCACAGGCATCCTCAAGAAGAAGTGTCTGCCCACCATCAGTGAGAAGAGCAGCCTCCTACGGCTACCCCTGGAGCAGGGCACAGGGTCTTCCCGGGGCTCCTCAGCCAGCGAGGGCAGCCGGGGTGGGCCCCCTCCCCGCCCTCCACCCCGGCAGAGCCTCCAGGAGCAGCTGAATGGGGTCATGCCCATCGCCATGAGCATCAAGGCAGGCACGGTGGATGAGGACTCCTCAGGCTCGGAGTGAGTGTGGCTGGGTGGGCGGGACAGGGTGCAGCCCCACAGAGGCCCCGCCTCCAGGCCTCCCAGGCCGCTCTGGTGGGCGGCCGAGTGCGGCCCAGGTCCCTTCAGGCCACATGCCCACAAACATGACGCCCTGTGGGGTCAGCCCAGCCCAGCATCGGGCAAAGTGAGGGAGGGTGGGGAGCTGGGGTTGCTTTTCTGTTTCCTCCTTCTGGTGAAAGCTTCTCACTGTCTCCTCTGCTCTGACTAACCCTCTGTCTGCCTTTTCTGTCACTCTCCTTTCCTGCCTCTCCAGATTTCTCTTCTTTAACTTCCTGCATTAACCCTGGGCCGGTGGTTCCTACACCCTGAGGCTCCCTTACGCTCCCCAGCTGCACTCATGCTCCCACTCCTGTCTTGTGCTTTATCCCGCCCCTGCTCCCCCTGCCTGCCTGCCTGCAGCAGCGACGAAACATCCATCTGAGGAGCCTGGGCCTTGCCGGGAGGGGCACCCACCCCACCCAAGGCCATCTAGTGCCAACTCCCTCCCCCACCATCCCCCTCACTGCACTTTGGACCCCTGGGGCCAACATCTCCAAGACAAAGTTTTTCAGAAAAGAGGAAAAAAGAAATTTAAAAAAGGAACTCCACTCTTCATGACTTCAGGGATTAATTTTTTTTATACGCTGGAAATTGACTCCCCTTTCCCTCCCCAAAGAGGATAGGACCTCCCAGGATGCTTTCCCAGCCTCTCCTCAGTTTCCCATCTGCTGTGCCTCTGGGAGGAAAGGGACTCTTGGGGGACCTGCCCCTCGTTTGCCATCACCAAAAGGAAAGGACAAAGCCACATGCACCCAGGGCATCAAGCCCTGTGGGCCGCACCGGGCAGGCCTCAGTGCGATGAGGGCGCAGGGCCGAGGGCACTCCTCACCCCGCCTGTGCCGCCCCTTCCAGGAACTGAAAAAGCCCTGTCCGGAGAGGGGGCAGAAGGACTCAGCGCCCCCAGACCCCCAAATGCTGCACGAACACATTCTGAAGGGAACCCATGCCCCTGGGTGGCGGCCGGGCCACCCCAGCCCCTCTCCTTTCCCTGGACTCTGGCCGTGCACTGCAGCCCGGGTGTTTGCTCAGTTCGCTGACCCAAAAGTGCTTCATTTCCCTGCCCGCCCCATGCTGGGGAAGGCCAGTCATGTGTTAAGTTGAGCTTCTTTGCTATTGTGTGGGTGGGACAGGGAGGAAGAGGACAGATGGGGCTGGCACGGTTGCCCCGTGCTGTCTCCAGCCCAGGTCTCCAGTCTGGGTTCCAGGGTCCACTCGCCCTCCTCTGAGACCAGACAAACCCCACTGACCTGCTGTGGCCTCTGAGACATGTTCTATTTTTATCCCCTTCTTGGAATTGGCTCTCTTCTTCGAAGGACCAGGTCCCTGTTCCTCTTTCTCCCCCCTCACCACCCAGCTCCCTGCGAAGAGAGAGTTAATATATATTTTTTATTTATTTGCTTTTTGTGTTGGGATGGGTCCAGTCCCAGGGGGTCTGATGTGGCCATCAGTCAGGTCGGGTGTGTACCCAGCAGTCCTGGCGAGGGGGCCTCAGGCCCTTCCCCTTGCTCCAGGCTGTCATCTCCCCACCTCTCCCTCCCTCCTCAGTTTTGCCAACTGCTGTTCATCTGAGTCACCATTTATGCTGAGCATGTGTTCCAGACTTGTCACCCATTTTCCTCTGGAGCAGGTGGCTAGAAAAAGAGGCTATGAGTAGAAAAAGTGTTCCTATTTCTCATTTGTAAGGCTGGTCTCTGGCTTTTCTGCCATGGATTCTTTCCCTGGCCTCTCCCCTCAGCAATTCCTGCAAAGGGTTAAAAACTTAACTGTTTTTTACTACTGATGACTTGACTTAAAAAAATACAAAGATGCTGGATGCTAACTTGATACTAACCATCTGATTGTACAGTTTGATTGTAACTGTAAATATGGTAGCATTTTGTGCTTTGTTTTTTCAGTTCTCCATGCCACTGAATAAAACTAGTTCTCTGCGGGCTGAGCACTGTCATCCTTTCCTCCTGTGTGGGGCCCTCTCCTTCCAGCGCGGGGAGGCCTGGTCGCTGGAAAACACGAGCAGGCAGGGCCCTGGAAGGGCCACGTCAGGGGACTCAGATATCCTCTCGACACCCCCAGCAGTGTCCCCCAAATAGCCTCAGTACTGAGCCCACGTCCTGGCATTTCCAACGAAGATGTGGCTGTTAGCAGGAAAGTATGCTTCTCACCAGGACAGGAGGGACTTGTACGGCTGGAGAGGCTGCACAGAGCAGGCAGGATTCCAGCCCAGCCCCTTAGGGCTGAGTCCCGTCCTGGGAGCAGAATTCAGGAGGCAGGGAGGGCTGAGAGGCTGGTGGGAATTGAAAGGTGCTCAGTGACTAGGTACATCCTAACTTCATTCCCCTGGGCGGTCTCGTGTTTTTCCCCATCGGAAATGAAGCAACTACTCATACTCTAGCCAGCTGTGTGCTCTGCCACATTACTTCTGTTCCCAAGTTTTGTGTTTTTCGAAGGTCTGTTCAACAAACTAGATAGGGAGTTCACATGGGGGCCATAGAGGGGAGTTGTTAAGAACAAAAACCCCGGAACCAGACTGAGCGACTTAATCTCTCTGAGCCTTAGTTTCCCTGCCTGCAAAATGAGGATGATAATGGTTTGTGCCTAACTGAGCTTTTATGAGAATTAAATGAGTTGACATATGTTTAGAACAGTTCACAGTGCATAGTAAGAGACCAAGAAACCCTGGCTTCCTTCCCTGGTGCTACTGGGGAGGCGGGTGAAGACAGAGTGCATAAAGAGAAAAGACAGAAAGCTCGACCCAAACGGAAGGAAGTAAGCAGGTAGTGAGCTAGAAGGGCAGCCGTGGCAGGCAGGCCTCCTCCCCCACAGATGCTGCCTCCTGAACGTTGCTTAAACAGGTCTGCAGTGCGATTGGAGGGGCAGTTAACGAAACCCTAGACTGACTTAGAGGGCGAAAGGAACATGCCTTGCCTTGTCCTTTTCGGCCACCAGGTGGCAATAGCACGCGGGTCTGCTGCTTGTTTTGCCTCTGAGGACCCACCGGGGCCTGGCTCACACGCAGGCCACACGAACATGCCATCTGCTGGCCACACCTAAGCGTGTGTCTGGGCTTGCTTCTGTCAGACACCAGTGCAGGACGCGGTTGGGAGACGCACCCGAGGTCTTCCTGCCCCTGCCAAATGTTCTCCAGAGTCAGACACTCAGTGTCTGTCTCCACACACCCTCCCCCCAGCTCAATGCTTGGAATCCCAGAGGCTCAGGGAAAGGTGAAAGTGTAGGCAGCTGTCACTGCGATATAGGTGAATGTGTTAAATGAACCTTAAGATCAGCTATAAAAAGAAGAAAGCCACGGGGTGGGGGGGGCGGGCCTGGCCCACGAACAGGGGAAGGGCCTTTTAGTGCCTCAGAAGGGGGCCTATGGGCATGTAAACCTGGGGGGCGGGGCACCAGCTGGAACTCACTCCCTTGGCCCAGTTGCCTGACTTCCTTAAGTCAGGGCCTGGCCTCCAAGGAGGAAAAGTCCTCTCAAAACTCATAAGGAATTGGGCTGGTTCTGGCATTTCCAAGAATCGAAGGCTGTGAGAAAAGGGAGACCCTCAGTTAATCTGTTAAATGAATCTTTTGTCATTCATTTAACAAACACCCCCCCCCATCTTGCACTCAAATATTTTTTCAATAAATGAATAGAACTCTCCACCACATACAAATCACAACACTAGGCACTGCAGAGGTGTATAAATCCTGGCGCCAGCCCTCAAGTCTAGTAGGGGTAAGAAGAGAAGAACACCAACAATTCTAAAGACATAAGGCAGAACATAACAAGGTGTTCGGGCATCTTCTGCCTGAGGCAATCAGCAAACCTGAACACCAGGGTACCCACCCGAGGGCCCCCTCATCCCATAAGTACAGCAGACAAGATGCTGAATTCCTAGGAGTATCCATTCTCTTGCCAGGAAAGGACACCCACGTTTAGAATACAAATAATAATTTACCAAGACCCTGGTTTGATAGCCTCACACACTGTGAATTAAACTCTGCTTAGGGCTTCCCTGGTGGCGCAGTGGTTGAGAGTCTGCCTGCCGATGCAGGGGACACAGGTTCGTGCCCCGGTCCGGGAAGATCCCACATGCCGTGGAGTGGCTGGGCCCGTGAGCCATGGCCGCTGAGTCTGCGCGTCCATAGCCTGTGCTCCGCAACGGGAGAGGCCACAAGCAGTAAGAGGCCCACATACCGCAAAAAAATAAGTAAAGAAACTCTACTTAAGTTGATCTGGACCTTCTAATAACATATGAAGCCTGGAAATGCCTAGAAAAAGGCAGCCTGTTCCCATCGAATGCCAACAAGGGGGCTAGTCATAGCCTGATTAGCTGGAATCTCAAGGGCCTAAGGCCTATTCAGACCCCTGCCTGGGAAGCCCATCCTGGCTCCCTCATTGGAATTACACAGGAGTTTACTCCAAATTTGTTAGAAATTGGAGCAGGATTTACTTCCACATGTATTCAGAATATAAAAATATACTCATTTTATTTTAGAAAAATGCAGACCAATGGAGTAAGCTTATCATAAACTGGCCTGTTAGGAGTCATAGAATCCACAGGAAACAAGTTCTGGAGACCAGATGCCTGCCTCTGCCTCTCCAAACAGGCCTGAGTCCAGTAGAGGATGTTATTCAGGAGGACTGCTCCTTGGAGAGCACGGAGGTTAGCTACAGAGGCCATTCACATGTAAATGTCCATCGAACCAAAGCCTGGGATGAAAATCAAACTCTGTGGAGCTGGACACAAGAATGGGGGTGGATGAGGACAAACCACTCTCGAGCATTTCTTCTTTTCTGTTTAACTTCACCACTGGGAGGCAACCTCTTTTTCCTATCTTGTTTCAACTGCGAGTTTGATTCCCCTCCAGCTCAACCCGAATCCATCCTATCTTCCACGGTCTCTACTCCTGGGGCACCAGCCATGGTGGCAGCTCTTCCTTCTATCCCTGGGCCAGAATCTGCTGGAGTCAGGCCTGCCTCCAAGGAGAGAGCTTGGGAAGCTGAATATAGAGGTGAGTCCAGGCAGTGACTATAGTAGTTTGCTACTGAATTCTTGCTTGCTGTCCTGAGCTCTTTACCTAAAGAGACAGAAGAAGGAACTGCTTTAAATTGCCCTTCTTTCACAAGCCCATTTGTCACCAGCTGAGTTCAAGTTCAGGAAGAAATGGGACTCCCTGCCCCTCCAGGCTCCCCTTGTCATCCCCATCAAGGGAGAAAGAGACAGCATCTCAACGTGTCTTACCTGGTAGGTCCTGGGACTGCAACTTTCCTGGGGGGCTGCAGATTGCTGCGACCGGCACCAGGGATGGGAAGATTTGGTCGCTGAGAAACAGGAACTTGATGGGTGTTAACAAAAGACATGAGTTAGCAGAAGGTTCAAGTGACCTTCTCAAAAAGAAATACTGGATGAAGGCAGAGTGAGTTTGGGATTAGTGCCTTTCTTCCCACCCAAGATAAAAAACATATGGTATTTGAAAACTGAGGCTCAAACTCTGCCCAGGCCCACATTCTCTCCTTAACTCAGCCTTCCCATCTTCAAACAGAGCTGTAATGAGGGTGGAGAAAGTCACTGCTACCAACTCTGGGAGGGTGCGTTCATGCTGGGCAGGGGTAGATATTCTTCCTCCTGATTTCTTATCCTTATGGCCACTCTTCTCACCTCTGTGCCCTGCGGCACTTGGTCTTGGAAGTCCTTTCCGAGCTGGCAGGGATTCTGGAGGAAGGGCACCTTTGCTGGATGGTACACTCCGGCTGGTGAGTGGCATCCTGCTGGCAGGCCTGGGAATGGCCGACGGAACAGGCAGTCGACTGGAAGGTTTAGCAGCTGCTCCCTGTGGCCGAGACAGGCGCTGAGAGTTGCTGGTAGAAGGCTGTGGAGCCAAGACTGGCCTGACAGAGGTAGGTGGGCCTGGTGGAGAGGAACAGAGGAATTTTAGGGTCAGCTCCGCATCCTCCCTCCTCCCACTCACCCACAGCTTTGCTGCCCAGGTCTTCTCACTTGCTGTTGCTCTCCCACTGGGCCCGGCTTTCCCCCGGACTGGAGGAGTGGATCGGGCAAGAGGAGAAGATGCTGGGCTTTTGGATGCAGGGAACAGATTGCAAGTGGGCGACTCCTGAAGCACAAAGAGAGGGGAAAAAAAGGACTAGAATGGAAAAAGAATCTGTTCTGCTGATTAAGGGACAGAGGTGGAGAGCTGCCTAGATCCCAGTAAGGAAGAGCAGAAGTTAGCTGCCAACATCATCATCACCACCACCAATGCCATTTATTGAGAGCTGACTATAAGCATTATAGAGCTCACACACAGACGCGGCGGTAAGTGCTTTGCTTATGGTACCTCGTTTAATTCCAACAATCCTATGAGGTAGAATTTGACTATCTCTATTTTACCAACAAGGAAACTGCTCTATGCCTGCACTGAGTCAGGCACAGTGTCGGGGGCACACATCTAACCCAAACCCTCTACACTCACCCTCTTCATGCTGGAGGGCCTCTTTCCAGATGTTGCTCGAAGAGCCCTGACTGACACCTTCCTATCGCTGCTCCGGAGTCGGGGTGTCAGGCTGCTTGGGGAGGGAGTGCTCCGAGACAAAGAGCTCACGGTGGGCAGCAGGTCTCGGACAGGACTGTCCTTGAGCACAAAGGTCTCCCGCCGAGGGCTGGGCTTCACCCTTCGAGGCCCCGGGCCCTCACCGGTGTTCTCCCGCTCCTGCAGGGCACACTGTTCCAGATGAGCTGCCAGCCGGTTGGCTTCACTGAGGATTTCTTCCAGCTTCTCTGGGCTGAGGGGGCCTAAACTGAGCCTCAGGCTCTGGGGGGCGGGGGCCACTGCATTTGGGTCACTTCGATGGGAGAGACCTCGTCGGAGGGGTTTCTCCGGAGTCACCGACACTGCTGTATCTTCTTCCTCTCGACTGAGAAAGAAAACAAATCAGGCACCATGCCCACATGGAAGAGAGCAGGAGACTACAAGGGAGACTGGGCAAAACCCCCACTACAGAGCTAGGAACACAACCCCAAACCCTGATACCCGTGCTGGCTGTGAGATCTAAGTGATGAGACAGCCAGTTCTAGGAGGCCTTCAGCACTTACTGACATTGGGAATTATGCCAGGATGTACATGAAGCAAATCCACTTACCCCTCTTCTTAACACCCTGAAATCTCGTTCCAGCTTATCCCTTCTCCCCTTCCCCAGTAGTGTCATAGGGGGCGAAGTCAACCAGCCACCCAGAAGCCCCAGTGCACCCAACCTTGCTAAATTACCAATCCAGACCTAAGGCCAATAATTCAGCAGTAAGGTGTTAGAGACAACCATTGTTGGAAGAAGGTAAGTAGGATAAAGAGTCTACTACCTGTCAGATGGTGACAGCCCCCCGAAGTCCAAGGTCTCATCTGCTATAAACTTTACCTCTGTAGGGGAGGAAAGAAGGAATGCCAGCCTTTGGTCCCTAACACGGCTCTCAATCACAGGGCCTCATTCTTCCCTCCAGCGTTTCCCTTACCTTCTTCTAAATCTTCCATGTTCCAGCCAGCAGGAGCAAAAGTCAGCTTAGACCCCGGAGCTGGAGAGAAAATATACCTTTCCTCAGGTCTCCATCCTGCCCAAGGCCTCCCAGCTAGACTCGGTGCAAGCCAGGGGCTGGGAGTCACGCTGGAGGTAAAGCAGGCGTTCCAGCAGCGGCACCTGCCCCTGTAACTGAGGTACTCTTACCTCCGGAGCAAGTGCCGACAGATGCCCCCATCCTCCCATCTCCTTCCGCACATTGGCCCCCGCCCCACTGCGACCCGACCTCTTCTCGCTGGGGCGGTCTACGCGCCCCATCCTCCTCCCCGCCACCACCCTCCGGGTTCTTCCTCTCCCCAAGCCACCTTTCCACTCCCCGCGGCACCACGCCCACACCACACCTCCACGCCACCCTCAGTTTTCACTTTCTGACTCGCCTCACCTCCCGCGGAAGGTGTTTTCCTCCCACAACCTAGTCCCGGGAACCCGCTCCGAGGGGGCGGGGCTCCTTTCGAATCTCTCAGGCCCCACCCACTCCTACCACACGCGCTCAATGATTGGTGAAGGCCAGCATCCTCAGCCCTTGTGGGGCGGGGCAGTGGAGGGGTAGCCGGCCGGAAGTCCGCAGGTGGGGGCCGAGTGGAAAGCCGTCCCAAGAAAGGCTTCATTTGGAGGGCTGAGGCGAGGAGGCCGCCAGCGCGTTTTCTTTCCCGGGAGACCTTGTTCGGCTTTCCTCCCGGAGCCGAGCCTGCGAGGGGCGGGACCTCGCGGCGACGCGCGAGGGAACGGGCCAATGAGTGAGAGTTTCGCGACCTGCCGTCCCCCTCTTCTCCGCCCCCTCCTTCTCGTGCGGGGCAGAGCTGAGCTTTGACGCCCCTTTTGACGCCCCTTGCGGCGGTCGGCCCTAGAACTAACGCTCTGCCTGAGGAAATTCGTTTTATTGGGCTCACTCGGCTCACTCCATTCGGAAGCGCAGTGTTAGCCTGATCTCTCAGGTGTATTCACGGAAGCAGCTAAACATTTATATTTTAGGTATATTGAGGTTCTCTAAGACGTACATCTTCCATCGGCTTTTTAGGCGAGAACATTCGGTACCTGAGGCATCCAAGGTGTGAAGAAAACTATGGGCTTTTCAGACAAGGAGATTTGGGTTCAGATTCAACCGTGGCTCCTCTGTTGACACGTATATTGAGTATCTTTGACCTCTCTGAGCTTATGTTTGACCCCTCGCTTATCTAAGAGGATCGTGACCGTCGCAGTACACGGTTAGGAGGATAGTTATGAACATCAAGTTTTATACCGTGTGCCGTCCTCTAAGTTAAACGCTGTGGTGTAAAAAGCTTAAGCCTACTTATTAGGGATTTTCTTTGTTGTTTCCAAGGGTTGCCTGTGAATAGACTGGGCCACCAGTCTTCTCAGAAATATTCTAAAATTTTTAAGTTAAAAGTCCCGAAAAGAATGGTTGAAGAGCTTTCCCGTAAACAAAGAGCCTAAGCTTTTAGTCTCCAGAGTTTATGACCGTTATTTTGGAGGTTTATAGGCTTTTTGTTTACTTCCTAGTTTTTAGTTGTGAAGTTGAGGTGGTGAGGTTGGCAGGAGTGAGATGTTACAGTAATAAATGCCACAGGGGGCAAAGGAGGCTTGGAATTTAGTGGTGTGATAAGGGAGACGGTGGGGAGACCCGGAACTTGCAAGCTTGTGTGAGGAAAAGCTGAGAGAAGAGGATTGCCTCTTTTTCCATAGGTTTCCTGGTGACAGTGGAATTTTAGTTGCTTGCAGTTTTCAAATTCTTTGGAGGTAAGAAAACCAGAGCCAGTAGCTTCTCTCTCTTCAGGCAGGTAGTGGAGATCAGAGGGAAAGAAGCTGTTAATTAACTGCATTCTGTCTTCCCCTAGGAGCAGCCTGAGTAGGGAAGTTCTTCACCCACCTTCAGGTAAGTGGAAGAGGCAGTTTTAGCAAGTTGGAAGTTAGTTTCTTGTAAGGAAACTCATCTCCAATTTTCTGTCACCAAATTATGATTTTGAAAGCTGTTGAAGAAAAAAAGCAATGGATCTGCTTTCTCTTCCATCAGAATGACAACAAAGCCAGAAAATATAGATTTCAGGCACAAGAATTCTTCACTCAGCATAAGGCCACTAATCTGGGAAATAACGTGTCCCCCTCAGCTCAACTCCAAAATGGTATGTATAAATAAGAGTTAAAGATTTTGGGTAAATTATGAAGAAATGAATTAATGAAGAAAGTATACCCCCTCCCAGGCACATGGTAAGCCTTAGTTGAGAAGGTACTTTGAGCACAGTGTTGAGTGCATAAATGATAAACTTAAGGATTCCAGTGCAGTTCTCCTTGAATGCCGGGAAGCCTCTTGGTCACTGTGTACGTGACCGGCTGGCTCGGGACTCTGGCCCCTGCTCCCTGATGGCCCTCTCAACATTCTCAGCCGGGGTTCCGCAAGTGCCTTAGACCCTACAAATGATTTGTGTGACTATTTTCTCAGTTTTCCCAAGGATGCTACATAACTAGTAACATTCTAGATGCATAGGAAGAAGTTAATTTATGACATACAATGAATGCCTTGGGGCATTGGGACTTTCTCATAGAACTCCAGTTGAGAGAGGCTGGAATAGATACTTGGCCTCAACTGAAAATAGGCCTTTGGTCTGAACAGAAAAGCTCTTCTTCACACTCAGCCAAAACATATCCACTTCCTCCTCAAAACCTTGCCTTATATTTACTGCCTCCTAGAAAGTTTTTCCATCTTAAACCCATGATTCCAACCCAGACCGAAACAGTAGGGGTCCCTGGGTGAAAGAGATAAGAGGAAATAGGGAAGACTTGAATTCAAACAGACGTGATTCAAATCTTAGAACTTCTACTTTCCAGTTACATAACTTGGAGCAATTTATAAGCTTCAACTCAATCATTTGTAAAATGAAGATTAAAAGAGATAACGCCTGATGCGTAGAAAGCTGTTTCAGTTATGTATTATTGTGCAACAAACCACCCAACATTTAGTGGTTTGAAACAACAGCAACTATTCATCTGCTCATGATTTTACAGCTTGGGCAGAGCTGTGCAAGGACAGCCTGTCTCTACGTGAGGAGTAGGTTGGGTTTGACTAGGGTTGAGGGGTCCAAGGTAGCCACACATGTCTAGGGCTGTGATGCTGGCTGTCAGCTGGGGTGCTTGGTTGTCCTCCACGTGGCCTCCCATAATTCAGTAATCTATCCTGAGATGCTTTACATGGGAACTGACTTCCAAAAGCAAAAGCAGAGACTAGTAGACTCTCAACTGGCATAGCATCACCTCCACTATATTCTTTTGGTCAAAGCAGGGCACATGGTCAGCCAAATTCAAGGGGGGAGAAAAAGACTCCAACTCTTGGTGGAAAGAGCACCATGACCATTCCAGGATGGGAGGAATTGTTGCTATCTTTTGCAGATTCCATCACAGGATGCCTTCAGTATCTTATTTGTTATAGAAATGAAAACATGTAAGCAAGAGCACATCACTTTTATTCTTTCCCCAGGGCTTAATGAGACTCTGCACTGGTTTCTTCACTATCTCCCAGCCCTCACATCTTAGTGCTCTGTCTTTAATTAGCTATGTGTGTCCTGCTGTCTGTGTCTCTGTGATAGATGTGAATCCTGTTTTCCAACTTATACCGGAAAGCATAGAGAGGAAGAGAGCAGGTCATCTTGAGCATCCCCCTTTGAGCACCTAATACTGTATAGAGTTGTCATAGACTGTCTAGAGAAAAGGACAGTGTTAGGAACCTCTGTGGAAGAGAATGTAGTTATGGGAAGAGAAAGAGGAGTCTGGGGGCCTGCAGATTCCATACAGTCTGAATAAAGGATTCCAACTTTTTCAATGGTTTTCTATATAGAAAGGCTCAAACAGATGGACACTTATGCAGCGAGGATCCACACCTTTATTTAGATTAGTCCAAACAGACACTATGCTGGAGCTTCTTAAGAACACAGTCTCTCCACAGGCTTCCTGGAGGCACAGAAAAGAGAGGGTATGTTGTGGCCATAACGGCAAACAGTGAGAGCTCGTCCAGGCTGCTGAGGTGACCTCCTTTCATGGTCCCTGGGTCCTGTGCTCTGAATTCTGTATTTACCCTGCTTCGTTGCTGGCACTGACCAGGAGAAATGGAGAAGGGCACTAAGAGTAACAAGGATAACACCAACACAACATGACATTAACCTTAACCTTAACCTTAATGCAGAGAAGGAATTGAAGGATGGCGAGAGAACTGGCTGTGCAAGCCAGCTGCTGGCAGAGAGAGATCTCCTGAGAAGCTTGTACTATTTTTTTTTTTTTTTTTTTTTTGTACGCGGGCCTCTCACTGTTGTGGCCTCTCCCGTTGCGGAGCACAGGCTCCGGACGCGCAGGCTGGCTCAGCGGCCATAGCTCACAGGCCCGGCCACTCCACGGCATGTGGGATCTTCCTGGACCGGGGCACGAACCCGTGTCCCCTGCATTGGCAGGCGGACTCTCAACCACTGCGCCACCAGGGAAGCCCAGAAGCTTGTACTTTTAATGCATCCCTCAAGGTTTTCATTTGCTAAAGATCAGTGAGAGGCTTAAATAAATGGCTTCTGGGATGGAATTCTTGGGTTTCATTGACCAGGAGCTGCAAGTCAGAGGAGATGTTGGGAACCACTTCTCTTTAATTCTCTCATGAGCTTCCTTTTCACCCCACTCATCAGTTTGTACACAACATTTCTGCTGTGAGTGATTTAGAGTCTGAAGGAGTTATCAAATTCTAAATGATGGTCTGAGTTGCCCTTTGACAGTAACGTGCTGCTTGGGACCACATTCCCCACATGTTCAATTATTGTTGACATATAATGATAACAGTGGTTTTCTTCTCTTGGAAGGGAAGGAATCCAAAATCTTCAAAGTATAAAGGAAGCAAACTCATCTGGTTTTCACCATGCTTAAGATACTGAGGTAGAAACACTTAATTGATAGGAACACCTTCCTCTCTCTTTTTCTGCCATGTGGTGGTGGTGGTGACCTCGGCCATCCTCCACTCCTGATTGTTTTCCTTGACACCTTTTCTTACAGCACCTGCTCACTCCCTCCCACAAAACCCCCTTACAATTAGGTAGATGCTATCACTCTTCTTCAGAGGGCCGCTAGGTTTAATTCCTGTCATCAACTTGAGGAGTACAGATACATAGAGGATGTGACAAAAGTAGACCTCATCTATGGTAAATTCCCTCCACAGGGATGATAGTATTCACTTACAAGAAAAAAAGTGGTTAAAAGAAAAGTGGTTGCCAGTGAGTGTATGGTTGAAAGGCTCAGGAATATATATCTGTCTCAGACTCAGCAACACTAGCCATAAACATGAAATACTCCATTCAGATCCCCTGTACCTCTCCTTACCTTCCTCAGAGTTGCCCATGTCTGCTTAGCGTGCCTCAATTAGGAGCTGCAAAATTCAGACATCTCTCTGTGTTGACATCTCTCCGTTTTAACATCTCAGCAATCTCTGGGAAACCTTTCAGAGCATGGAGAAGGGATATACTTCCAGGTTTGGGGGGAGTCCATGGTGCTAATTAGGAGGCTATGCGGAGGGAAGAATAGGACATGTAATGGCCCATTCATTCCGGAGTCATGCTGCACATGCTCAGAAAGTGCCCACTGTGTACCAGAAACTGGGCTGGACACTGGGGGACAAGGTGAATAAGATGGTCCCTGCCCTCACAGTGCTCACAGTTTATGGGGAAACAGATCAGTAAATAGATAATTATAAAACAATATTCTAAATGCAATGATGGCAATCTGAGCAAGGGGACAGGAATGGATAAATGAATGAATACTTTAAAAGCGGTAGAGAGGATGTGCAATATTCCCATTTAACCAACTAGAGACGAAAGTCCTCTGGTTTGTTTAAAAGCCCAATAAAAAGCTACAGCTTTCCTGGATTGAGTCAGATTGTATAGTTTAATGAAAAACGATCTGGGTAAGGTCCAGCAGACTTGGCCTCTTATCCACCATAGTGCCAACTCCTCAATTAACCAGCACTGGAAATCACAGGTAAACTGATCAATCACCTCCCTGTGCTTTAGGTTTCTCCTTTGCAGAGTGGAAATAGTGATTCTTCCTATATTACAGAATTATAATGGAGAGAAATGAGGAGTGGATGATAAAAATGGCTCCTAAAATACATCCTGATGATGACAGTGATGAGAAGGCCTGAAGGGGAAGCAACCCGAGCCCTTCTCCATCTAGGCTTGTGTCTCTGCCCTCGACTTTCCCACCTGTGGAGAGAGGAGGTGATTGCACCCTAAGGTGCGAGTTCTGCCCTTACCTTTCACATCCACCCGACAGTCTACTGACGCCTCCCCCAGGGGGTTAATGGCCTTGCAGGTGTAGATGCCCCCGTCAAAGGGGCCAGGCTTGTGGATTTCTAGGGAGCAGATTCCCAGGTGAGTGAGGGCTCTGTATTTGGGGTTGCCTTGGATATCCATCTTGTTCTTTAGCCAGATGATCTTTGGCTGGAAGATAAAGATGAGGGGGGTGAGTTAGGAGCAGCCAACAGGACTCCAGCCCCCCTGACAGAGAGACAGCTTTGAATCTCGTGCCCAATTGCCAGCAGGTCATTAAGTGACATCTTCATATATGAGGAACAAACACTAAAAGCAAAACTGGAAACATTGTCCACACCAGCCTGTCTTGGACACCAGTGCCCTGAGTGTTCCTAATGTGCTGTGGAACAGGCAGATGATGGTGACGGGAGCAAATGTTTTGGTTAGAATGTTCTTCGACACAGCTAAGGTTAGAGCAGAAGCAGAAAGCAGCACAGCCACCCACAGACCTCCTTGCTCACCTTGGGGGAGGCATGGATGCAGCAGAAGAGCTGGGTGTCACAGCCAATGACTGTAGTGCAGTCTGCCAGAGGCTGGGTGAACTTCGGGGCTTCTGAGACATCTCACTGGACAAACCCCTTGGTCTTGTAAACAGTAGCTGAGGGGACCAAGAAGGGCCTTGCTGTAGTGCCTGAGAGCCCCATCCGTCTTCAACTCTTTCTCCTTAACTCTTCCCAGCTCCAAGTCTCAGTGCTTTACCTGCTTTCTGGATGTGGGCCGGGTCGGCAGTGACAGAGGCTGTCTGGCTGAGCCCACACTGGTTCTCAGCAAAGACTCGAAATGCATAGGAGTTGCCGACGATGAGGTCGGAGACTGTGCGGCTGGCGCGGTGATAGCGCTCCAGCACCGTGAGCCACAGCTGTGGGGCCCCGGAAGATGCGTGGAATGAGACCCCTGTTTTGGCAACTCACTCCACCCCAGCCTACTGCGTGGAACTACCAGAGTCCCATTCCAGAATGTGCTGTTCCTCCCTCCCTCCATCCCAGCTGGGCCTCACCCCAGATTTGGTGTCAGCCTTTTGCACCGCATATCCCAGGAGTGCGTTCCCGTGTCTTGGGGCAGAGTCCACTCCAGGGTAGCGCTGGAGCCCCAGACATCCACCAACTTGATACTCTGAGGAGAGCCTGGCCTCTCTGAAAGGGCCAAGCATGGCAGCGGGCATGGCACGCCTCACACGCCAGGACATTACCAGGAGGGGCCCCTCCGCTTCTGCTCAGCCACCCCTCCCTTCACCCACCACTGCGTCCCACAGCCCCGCTTCCCCGGCTCTCTGTGCTGATTCCTCTTCAGGCTGGGGTGGGAGCCCCCAAGGACCACGTCGTCTCCCATTCCCCCCACTGTACCGATCACCAGGGTGTCAGTGGTGGCGGTGGCCTCCAGCCCGCCCAGCTGCACATGGAGCTGGTAGTGACCCAAGTCAGCACACTGGGCCTCTCGGATGAAGAGGTTGGAGTCCCGCTCCCCATTCCGCATGCTCACATGACTGGCGTCCAAGGCACAGCCGTCATGCGTGCGCATGGCTTGAGGTTGGGGTTTGCCCTGAGAAATGGGGAGAAGGCTGTGAGCTGCCCCGAGAGGCCTTTTGCCCCTCCCGGCTGCAACAGGGGTCAGATCCACCAGGTCCACGTGGTGACTTGACTCGCAGCTGCAAATTCCTTGAGTGAGAGGTTGGTGGACTGTCCCAGGGGACTTCCATCTCTCAGCAACAGCCTCAGGATCATGGGAAAGGGGGATGGCTTTGAGTCTCCCCGCCTCTGAGAGTCTAGGTCATGGACACTCAGGGCAGCTGGGACTAAAATTAGCTGCCCAAACTCCTGAGAGCCCTCCAAACTGAGAGCTCCCAGACCCCTGCTGACTGAAGGGCATGGATTAGCCTTACATCATCACCTGGGCATGCCCAAACTGACCTGACCCCAACACCCCGCAGGAGTGCTGATGGAAGGGCTGTTTGGCCTCACACTTGGTGACATGCCCCTTCCATTCAAGGCTAGGACGACTGTCCCACTGCTAGCAGGACTCTTGTGTTTTGTTTCCAAATCAAAACCCTGGCCTGGCTCCAGTCATGGACCCAACGTGGGGCTGTCATGATCACCTGGAACGGGATTAGTAGATTCAGAGTGTCTCCAACCTCCTGGACGTAGGTCTGCCTCTGGGCCTGAGGTAGCCAGATCTTGGGGTGCTCTGAGGGATGGAAAGATAGAGAACGGGGTGGTGAGCCTCCCTGGGGGGAAGAGGAGAGTTTAGAGGAAGTAGACGTGGATGCTGCATCTAGCTGTGCTCCATGGCCAGGTGACCCAGGCAACACTCAGCAAATTAAGCCCTCTCTCGGGGAATGGGAAGGTAGCTCCCATTGTCTCACCGGGATTTAGGGATAAGCAACCAGCTGTGGGATCCTGTAGAGAGAGTCTCAGCAGAAAGAGCACTGAAGCACGAGCCTGACACCTACTTCTTTTAATTGGTAACTCTCCACCATCGACTTTTCATCAACTGAGATTTCTTTTTTGTTTATGCACAGACCAGTCCAGTCCGAGTGGTCTGTCTTTCCACTCCTTTTCTACATTTGTCCTCAACAACACTCCTTTTTTCAAGGCCACTTTCAATGTCAATCCTGACCCCCAAGTGTCCGCCCCGCTCCCCAGTTTGGTGCCAGACCCCGAGGAGAAAGCTTTATATTCTGCAGGCAGAGTCAACACCCTGGCCCCACCAGGACAGCACTGATGTCACTGCAGAGGGAGCTGGCGTCTGGTCCCTTCTCTGCAGGGCTGCCCTGTTCAGGGGCCTGCACAGTGTCTTCCAGTCTGTGGAGGATCACTTTGTACAGTCAGAATCTGGGAAAGATTAGGTCCACTGCTTACTCCCCCTTGATCTTCCAGGCATGTTCCAGTGAGAAGAGAGATTAGATTATGTTTATTGGCTTCCAGGATGAAGACAGGAGATGCTCAGGAAAGTGCTGAGAGTAAGTTTGGGGAATGACCAGGTGTAAGTTCCTCTCAGGATGCCTCCGGCAGCCTTGGCTGAGGAAGTGCAAACATCCCACCTGGGTTCCTTTCGGCTCCTAGCTGAAATCTACTCCATTTTCCAGACTTCTGGTGCTACTGCTTCCTCCTTTCTCAGGCAGAGACAGTCCCCCGCTGCTGTAGTCTTACAGGGAGTGTGACAGTCTCAGTCCCCACCAACTCCCCAGCCTCCCCGCTCCTTCATTCCTATCAGTTGGAAGAACTCCACCCCAGCACACAACTGTGGCAAACAGCTTGATAGCAGATTCCAAACTTTTTGATAACACACATTTCCCTGTAAATACATCCCTGAACATTCACCCCAATGTGTGTATGTTTACTTACAAATTGAACTGTTTAAAATGTACATTACATAATGCAGAATTTGAATGGTGAAATTGAAAATAAAATAAACGAAGGGTCTACAAAGCTCTTCCTACACCTCAGTTTGTAGATCGTTGTTTAGAGACCAGGAACTTCCGTAGTCCGCCCTGATTAGCATCTTGAGATAACTTGGGCTTTGTGGATGAAGATAGACAGAAATATTCAGTGCTGTCCATTTTATTTGCCTAGTTTCCTTTTTCACCCTGTGGCTTACGTTTTAACCTGGGTTGTGCTGTCTTAGGCTGCGCCTCACCCCTCTACCCTGACAGAAGTGGGAACTGTGTGGTGCAGGGCCTCCAGTGCTCTAAGCGCTGTCCTGCCCGTACAGCCCAGGGCCTGAGGCCTCAGCAAGGACTCAGCTCGGAGCCCAGGCAGCTGAATGACCCTGCTCGGCTGCCCTCTGTTCGACTTTGGCAGTTTGGGTGGAGGCGGGGCATGAAGAACAGAAGAAGTGTTGTGTGATGTGTTCCTTTCCTGTGGCCATCTTGGCAAGCGACCAAGGAGTTGAGAACAGGCGGATATGACTTCAGGGTTTTCTGCAAAAAGAGGGCGGCAATTGAAAAGGAGGGTCAAAACCTCATCTTGTTGGGCTTGGTTCCCCACTGCTGAGTGAGGACCTAACCCTTCACGCTTGCCGGGGAGAGGGCTGGGGAGAAGCCGGCTCTGCTGTCCCTTGCGCTGCCTACAGAACCTCTGAGTTAGGAAGGACCTTGGTGAGCACCCAGAGCAAGGAGAAGACTGGAAGGAGAGGGCTGGGAGAGAGAGACAGCTTTGCTGTTGACCTCACAGCCGGTTGTGAAGTCGTGCTGGCACCATCTAGGAACGTGTGCCTGAAGGACCTGTTCTCTGAGCATGACAGCATATCTGTCCACTTACCTGCCCTTCAGTGTCCACCTGGGACTGGGCACCACAGTCAGGGCTCCTGCAGTGATCTTGCCCCTGGAGGGAAGAGGCCAAGAAGGGAAGGCAGGGGGCCACACTCAAGGATTAAAAAGGCTGATGTGAGGAAAGGAACCCAGGCTGTCACGCCTGGAAGAGGTGCCAGTTGAGCCCTGCTCTGCTTACACCTCAGGTAGGAAGGGGGCTTCCATAGGTAGGTGCATGCTGAAGTATATAGTATTTGTTCCCACTTAGTCTTTCCTAGAAAAGTATCTTGGAAAAGGTTAGCATTGTTTCACTTGAACTAAGGAGAAAAATGAAAGAAATAAGTTTATGTGGAACGTAAGCTAAGATGGGGGAATTAGGAGGAGGATAAGCAGAATGGCCCTGAGATCCAGAGGGGATGCCAGCAGGGGGTAGAGACAGAGGAGAAAGGCTGACAGCCAAGATGGTGGATTCTTCCTCCCTGGAGGGCTCCCGGGCCAGTTCTTTGCTTAGAAGTGGGATTCCCTGACAAGATGGTGAATCAGTAGGGGACAAACTTAAGTTACTATTTAGAATGTTCTAAGTCTGAGGACTAGTAGGCGAGGATTCTGCTCTCAGCAGTCTCCCAGCCCCAGTGGGAGGGCAGAGGATGGGCTTAAGGCTAAAGCCGCTGACAAACTATGGGAGGTGACAGTGTGTGACAGCTCCAGGTGCCTGGGCTGCAGCAAGCTCTTCCCCAGCGCACCCCAGGCCTTGAATCTGCCCAGCAAACAAGAGCAATCTGACCCCTTGCTAAGAGTGTTAATAGGAGGGCTCATCTGGGACATCTCTTTTCACACATCCACAGTCAAGCGAGGTGTTAATTGTACTGACCTTGGAGAAACATGGCTTTCCCTGACGCCCAAGGTCTTTCTCCTCCTCATATGCCAGAAGGGATGTGAACCAAAGGCTACAGCCCTAAAGCAGAACCTCGGGTTTCTAAGACCAGGTCTGAGACAGCTGCAGTTTGTCTATGAGATTTTCTCCCTTCATAGAGTCTCAGGTAAAAGACGTTTTGAAAAGTCCTTTGAGAGCCCTCGGCTTCTGAGCTGTGCTGCTCTCAGCACTGAATTTCTCTCAGACAGAGCACTGTCTTAAAAAGGAGTGGAGAGGAAACTTCTTAAAGTCCAGAGATCTCGACTTCTCTTGATGAGAAAATCCTTCCTAATTCTACCGAATTTCATCCTGCTGAGGTTTATGCCCATTTCCTTATTCTCTGCTCATGGGAAATAATTGTTCCCATCCTCTCATAACTTGGTTTCACATGGCTAAAGACTTTCTGCCAGCGATTCCCTAAGGACTGTGTAGTTCAGATTGATGGTATTAATTATGGCCCGGAGAATGAAGGAACAAGATAGACACATTGAAAGAGTGGAGGAGTGTGTGCGTGTGTGAGTGTGCAAGACTGTGAGTTCGTGTGCATGTGTGCACACACATGCACAGGCCTGTGTGAGTGAACGGTTACCAAAAGAGGGCAAATGCACAAGGCAAGCTATGGCTCCCAAAAAACCCCAGAGATTTCCAGGGATCCAAAAAATACCAGCATTTCTTACAGAAACATTAGCAGATGCATAGGGTGTGGACTTGACCTTATCAGAAACTTGTCTGGAGGAGTGTGGTGGGAAAGAAATGTGGTGACTTCAAAAAAATAAACCTAAAAACCTTGTGAAGGACAAGAGTGTCACTTCCTTGAAGGCCATGAAACCGAGATCAGAAAAAATAAAAGGACATAGAAATAGGCAATACTTCTCTGAGGAAAAGACTCCATCACCCTCTCCCCTTGTGGCAGTCTCCCCCTCATGCTGATGACGGTAGCCCTGGCTCAGTGTCACTTTCTCCAACATTTCTCCAGTCATGATTCCTGCTCATTTCAACACCCAGACTTCCAGTCCCTGCAGGGCCGCTCCCAGCCTTGCCTGCCACTCCTCCAATGAGTTTGTCCTCCCCTGCTTCAGCCCGTGGTTCCTTTGGTCATTGTCTAGACCAATAACTATAGCCACTATAGAATCTGAATTTCAAGCGTCCCGCTCCCTCAGCACCACCTCCATGACAGGGATGGCTAATCGCTCACAACAATCTGTACATGTTATCTCTTCCATAGTATAGGGATCTCTGAGAAGGAGCTGCCCCACTTGCTGTATGACAGTGAGACTAGTTCTTGCCAGTGAAATGTGAGTGGAAGTGATGAGAATCACTTCTGAGTCGAGGCTTTTAATGAATGAGTTTTCTGTTTCCCATCTGCTAGCTGCATGCAGGTGATCACGGGGCCCTAAGGCATGGCGGAGCCACAAGATGGAAGAGGCCCGGGTCCCTGAATTAGTGCTGGAGAACTATCTGCTGAGTAGGAACGCTTGCTTTTAGTTGTTTTGCTAGTAAGGAATAAACATCTATTGTATTTGAGCCTTAAATTCTGAGGTCGCATAACCTAATGAACAGTCTCTATCCCTTCAGCTCCCTCCCTCTAAATCTCCGCCAGCAGTGATCCTTCAGCCCACTGAGACCTCTGATCCATTATCTTCCCACCCCTTCACTCTCTATCACCCCTCCATGTTATCACTTTCTTTCCCACCCAAATTAGATTCCATGGTCATCGTTAGACTCACTCCCTTGCCTACCCACTCAAAGCCCTAATCCTTTACCACTTCCTAGCAATACCCAGCCCCAGTTAAATACACCCCCTCAGTGTCTGCATCCACACAGCCAAACACGACTGGGGAAAAATATTACAAAACTATGCTGACTTTAAATTGATGGCCATTGCCTCCAAATGGACCCTGGCAGATCTGCCAGACTTCCCTAATTCACTCAATCTCCTGTTCTCCTGGGTGACTGTTGTACACCCTCTTCTAAAACTTCCATACCTTCTCCTGAATCCTTATTCTCAGTTGACAATCTTGCTAGTGTCTAAAGCCTGCCTATAGCCTATTCTTAACTCAGCAGCCAGAAAAGTCTTAAAACCTACACCTGATCATGCCAGATCTCACCTAAAACCCTGCGCTGGCTGCCCATCTGTCTCAGGGTTGAACCAGTGTTCACAATGGTCCTGCCACCTCTTTGACCCCAAACCTGCTATTCTCTCCCTCACTCTGCTACAGCCACAGTGGCCCCAATCCATAATGCACACTCCTGCCTCAGGGCCTTTGCACTTACTGTTCTGTCTGTGGAAAACCTTCACTCTCAATATCTGCATGCATTGTTCTCTGGCCTCCTTTAAGTCGCTGCTCAGATGACCTTTTTAATAAGACTTTCACTGAATATCCTGCTTGAAACAGCAAGTACACTTCCCACCCCAGCACTTTATACCCTCCTCTTTCTCTGCTTTACTTTTCAGCATAGCAGTTATCACTTTCTGATATTTTATATATTTTATTTGCCTATTTATTATCTATCTCCTTACATAGAATGTAATCTCCACAAGGGAAGTTATTTTTGCCTATTTTGTGCATTTTTGTAACAGTGCCTGGCACATAATAGACACAAAGTAAATATTTTTAGAAGGAAGAAAGAGGATAAGAAGGGACAGTGGGAGGGTGGGAGGGAGGAAGGAAGGATGGTCACTTCAAGGCTAGGGATTCAGCTTCCCAAGCCTGGAAGACACAGAACAGTCCAGACTGAAAGAGGACACAGGGTCAGTTGGAAGCAATCGAGCTGAGATCAGCAGACGGGCCCTCCTACTGGGTCTCAGAGTCCCGTCTTCTCCGTGTCAGGGTGCAGTCTGTCCCATATCTCTCACTCTTTCGAAAGCTCTCCTCTGGCCCCTGCCCAGCGTTGCCTCCAGGACACAGTGCCTCTGTGCAGTGCTGAGAGTGACAGAGGATGGTTTCCCAATGCCAAACACCTACTTCTGCTTCTTTAGCCATGGAGCAGTCTTTCTTGACTAAAAGCTCAGTGTCGGCCAGTTGCAGTTCATTTTAATGTCACAAACATTTTGACGCCTGCTCTATTTCATGTGTACTCACATGCTAGCCACTGTGCCCTTCTATGTCCCATAGAGCTCCCCATAAGGAAGAGGAGGCGTTAAGAGGAAGGAAAAGTCCTTGGTGCTCACAGGGAACTTGGGGGCCATCTAGTCCAGCACCATAGCAACCCCCCTGAAGACCTCTGGCTAGGCTTCAGTGATGCTATGAACTCCCTGAACTTTGTTGAGTATTTTTCTTGGAGCAAGAATCCACAGCTTTCATCAGATTTTCCTAGGGATCCATATCCACCAAAGGGTTAAGAACTCTGATTTAGTTCAACCTCTCAATTTACAGATGAGAAAATAGAAGCCCAGAGGGGTGGATTGACTTGCCTTGGGTCACAGGACAGAGCTAGGGTTTGAACTCATGTCTTCTTTTCCCAACCGGATAACAGATGCAAACACTTTGCACAATGTCACAAGGAGTCCTTGCTGCTAGTGACCTCTGGCATGTAGGTGGGTTGAGTCGCTGGGTGCTGGTGGCCCTGAGGCCACACACAAGATCAGGGCCCTTCAGGCCACACTTGGGGGCTGTGGCCAGGGGCCGTCAGGAGGGAGGAGTGTGGGAGGGATGACCACCCTCCCCCAGGGTTTTGTGGAGACCAGGGGTCAGAGAGTCAGCAGTCCTGGCTCTCATTCTCCCTCTGCCTGTGACTTATTCCCTGGGCCTTTTGGGGAAGAAACTGATTTTCTGCCTCAAGACCATTCCAGCCTAGTATGTTCCCAATAACTTCTGCTCTCTTTACCTGTTTTTCAGTGGGGCAAGCTCGGTCGGCTCTCTGCCTCTGACATACAAATAGCTTCTGAAGACCCAGCATCTTCCATCAGGATGATAAGAGGCAGCAAAATTTCCCTCCACAACCCTATTTGCAGGGAGAATTCAGTCTTTATCCCTGACTTGGAAATAATTTATTATCTATTCATATCTTTGTTTGGCCTCTTCCAAGGCACTCTGGATTATCTCAGCAATCCTTTCGACTACCTTACCAGGTCGATACTATTACTCACCATTTTACAGAGAGGAAATTGAAACTGAGCAGTCAATTGACTTGGCCAAGGTCACGGAGCTGCTGGAGGTGGCCCTGGGAATTGAGTCTAGATGCTGTCTTCTTTTCCTACCTCTCCTTACCCAGGGATTCCACGGTGTCTCGTTTGTGGTCTTTGCATCCTCTGCACTCAAGACTCCAAGGGGCCAGAAGTGGGGACTTTGCGCAGGGAACTGTCTTAAATGTTTCGTGCAGCCCCTGTAGTTGCTTCCGCCGATTACCTCGCAGGAGAGGGGAAGAGCCAGGCTCCCGTCTTCCACTTCTGTCGGCTGAGCCAGGTGCAGTGGGAGCCACCCAGGGCAAATGTCACAGAGCTGTTAGCTACAAAGGCCTCAGCCAGGGGCAGTCTGGGGGGTGGGCAGCAGGGCTGCTGGCAGGGAACTCTGGGGCTGGAAGGGGCACCCACCACCTCCTGGTTCAAAAATGCCTTTATGCTGAGAGGCTCACAGAGACCACAGAGAGGGAGCCAAATTCTTCTTCCGGACGGTCTCTCCTTCCGTGGAGCTCAGGCTCAAAGAGGCTAGGGTTTCCCGTGGGAGCCAGTGGAGATGTTGGGGTAGGTGGAGGACCCACGGCTCTACCAAGGGCGAGGCGGAGCGTCACATACTGTTCACCACTTAGCCTCCCGGTGGCTCTAAGCTTTTTGTTTCTTTCTTCTCCAAATCCAGATGGACACCATCTCACCCCTCATTCCCTTCCTGACTGGCGTTGGTATATCAGGTCCCTGTGACAGACATATTTTAAAGGTAAAAATAAAAACCTATCATTATTAGTCACTGTAAATTGCCACAAACATCATTCACTGACTTTTCGGGTAAAAAGCAAAGACCCAGCAGAGACATTTGAGCAGCAAGCTAGAATCCACCAAGGAAGGGGGTGGGGGCTCCAGTGGATGCTCCCCCATCCTAAGTACCAATCCCATGAAACCATTTAGATCCGCAAAACCTATGGAGGTGCAGTCAGGGCGGTGGCGCATCCTCCCAACTCCCACCGCTCACTCCCCATCCCCATGGATCACCTTCTGTGGGGGGCAGGAGCTGGGGAATGGGGCTGACGGCCCCCCACCGAGGTGAAGCCTGGGCTCCGTCAGCATCGGCTTCTTTCACCTTCGGCGTGGATCCAAGCCCACCTCCAGAGCTGTGGCTGCCTCCATGCTGGGCCACCCCAAGGCTGGGCTCCAGAGGAAGATTTTCACTGTTGGTGGCGAGGGAGGGGCTGAGCACCTGCTCTCCAGCCCGGCCTCCCCAGGCTCCCAGCCACAGGGTTATGTAACAGGGCTGGCCTGTTCCCACCCAGCTACTCCCAGACGGCTGAAGCAGGGGCTAGGGGAAGAGCGGGGAGCAGACTGCAGCCCAGAAGAGCTGAAGGAGGAGGACCCGGTAGTCCTGTTATCTTGGGAAAGAGAACCGACACCTCTCTTACAGCACCAGAGAGGGAGGAGAGCGCTTGAGCTTCAAACAGCCCCTCCCCACCCAGACCATCCGAATGGGGCCTCTGGCTTCTGGCAGGAGGATTGGGTGACATCTCGGCTCCTGACCTCCAGCTCATCCAAGGGTGTCCAGGTCCAAGGAAGGGGCCCCAGGATTAGCTGATTCACAGGCACACCTTTAGGTGGTCTCTCCCTCTCTGCTCCCACATTCGCTGAGTTGTAAAGTCTCGCCAGCTCGGCCTTTATGGGGGCGGCCCCATCCTCTCCACTCCCCCTGTGGCAGTGCAGGGCAGGGTCTGCACCCTGGAGCCACACCCACCCCCCCCCCCCCCCCCCGGCTCACTTTGGCTCCATCACCGATTGGCTGTGTGACTTGTAACCACACATCACGGTCTCTCTCAGGTCTGTTTCCTCATCTGTGAAGTGGAGATAACAGCCATAGGGTTGCTGTGAGGATTCAAAGGGGTAATCTGGGTAAAGTGCTTAGCAGAGTGTAGCCGACTAAGTGCTCGATAGATGTAAGCTATTTTTAGGTTGGGTCAGCACTTGTCCCTTTCAAAGCTCCCTTGCCTATGAGATAAAGTACAAATTAAGTGAGAGGCAGCAGTGATGGAGGGGAGAGCCAGGAGCATAAGGTTAGAGGACTTGAGTGTGACTCTGGGCTCTACTACTCACTCATTTGCTAGGTGACCCTGGGAAAATCACTTACTCTGAACCTCAGGTCCCTGGTCCATGAAACAAGGGATGATGATGCCACAATTGTGTTGAAGATAAAATGGTAAAAGTATATGAAAGTGGCCAGAGCACAGTAGGTGTTACATACTAACGGTCCTATGTGATTTCTAGGCTCACCAGACCATCATTTATATGTTCCATGCACTCCATCCAATCAATCTGGTTTCCTATTATACTCTACTTTCTCATCTCCAGAAGCTGGCATCCCCTCTGTGAATATATATATATACATATATATATATATATATATTTTTTTTTTTTTTCTTTAAGTAGACTTAAAGAGCAGTTTTAGGTTCACAGCAAAGTTGAGTGGAAAGTAGAGTTCCCACATTCCCCCCTTCCCCTCCTCTCCTTTATTTTTTATGGAAACAAATGAGTATGGTTGAATGAATGAGCACCTTACTCATTTCTCCCCTTTAGCCCTCAAACTGGGGGCGGTCATTAGGATCCTGGGAGCCTGTTACTATCTTGGAGTGTGGGACAGAAGCCCAGAACTCATCTTTGCAACCTGTATAGGGACTGAGGGCTAGGACAACCTGTAGACACAGCTGGTGCCCAGGAAGCTGTTTATCAGGAGCTTGGATGACTGAAGAGGGTGACCGTGGAGCTTGACCTCGGGCTGGTGGTGAGAGGCTGCGCCGTGTCATGTCAGGATTTGTGTAAAGGCCTCTTTGACCTATTTCTCTCGTCTGACCCAGCCAAAGCCCTTACGAGTCCAGACAGTACACCAGGGGACTCCAAACACGCCCTCTTATACCCCACTTAATTCATGCTTTGATGAGGAGATTGGCCCAGGCTTTTGGTCTTAGCTCCTTGTTGCAACTGAAGAATCAAATAAAAAAGGCAGACTCCTAGGGTCTTATCCATTGGAAAGGCTAATTTAATAGGTCTAGGTGGGATATGCATTTTAAAAAAACAACCTACTGATTCTGTTGCAGGAAGTCTTAGAACACTATGTTCGATAGAATTCCAGAAAATAAACCACCTTGGATAACCTCTTGAGGGAGGGCTCTTCCAGCAGACATGGGCTCCTCAAGAGCAAGGTCTCTGCCTGGTCATCTTTAGACCACGACGCCAGAGTAAGCATTAAATGGAAATACCCGCCAGGACGGAAGGCTGAGCAGTCGTCAGCCTTGGCTAAAGGCTCAGTGGGGGTGGGCAGGAACCTCCCCTAAAAGAAATATTTTGGAGGAGGAAAGTTGCAACTCTTTGAAGGTGCTTAAACGAAATGGGTCAGGAAAGACTACGAGTAACAGCAGCAGGAGAAACGTTAAGAGGGGCAGATGGAAAGGTGCGGAAGGTAAACTCCTTGGTGTTACTTATCAACCTGCTAGAAGAACATGGAATTCAAGAGAGTAATGACATGCTGCTGTGTGCAGAAGGAAGAGTGTTAGCCGTTGAAACTGAAAAGCTGTACGGGGTGGCTCAGCTAGACTCTCGCGGAGTAAGAACAATGCTTTTACAAATACCCATGGAGGTAGATCTTTGTGAGCATAAAGCAGAAACAGGTGAGTAGTTTTTCCTATAAATTACCTAATACCTTACATGCTATAAATGAATAGTCCTGGCTCTTTAACTGACTTATTCTCTGGTTGCTGGAGTTTGATTTTTGAAGCTAGAAAACTGGAAAAGCTTTCATATTAACAAATTGTAGCTTAGTCATTTTAGTAGGTCAGGTAACAAAGTCCAGTCTGTTTTATTTCTAACCCAAATATTGCAAATATACAGAAAATTACCAGTACAAAGTTAAACACACCCAGATTTATTTACATAATGCTAAAGAAATTTGAGTTTTATTTCCATTTTGTGGAATTTTATTCTAGGGTCTGGCTTTTTTGTGTAACCGACATTGGTCATTGAAACTTGATTATCCCACCTCACATGCAATTTTCTGTCCCAAGGGAACAGAAAACTTGGGTTTTTAGCATACATGCAGTAACGATCTTAATACTGCTTTACACTTTTGTACCGACAGCTTGGGGTGGAGGCAGAGAAGTTACAGAGCAAGGAGGGACCACATGCTGATAGGGAACAAGAGACAAGACAGGGTTGGACAACAGGCACACGGGGACCCTGAGCATTTCTGTGCACGAGGATAAGGAGGGTGCCATCAAACCCCTCCTCCCTAGACGTCCAAACACAGGAGGTGGGCAGCATCATCAGGAACATTTAAGTCACCCGACCACAAACTGAGGGCATGCGGAGGATGAGAACTGCATTAAAGACTTGGGACATATCAATAAATCATTAACATGTACACTATACAGTTTATACATGTATATATGTACACACACACAAAGAGATATAGAAAGGTACAGATTAGTTTAAGTTATCCTATATAAACAAGGACGCTTAAAAATGTACCAGTGTGAAAAAAGGCGTACAGTTAAGTTGCTGAAGACAATTTCTAATTAATGTTCTGATTCTTATTGTTATAATGCAAAGTAGCCAAGAAATCAACATGTTCCTGCTATTTTAATCATCCTCCATGAGGGTGAGGCCTGGGCTCTGCTAGGGCAGGACAGCACTGCCAGAGCTGCCTGAGCTGGGCGCATCAGTGGCAGATGGAACAGAAAGTCTGGCACCTGCTGAGTGCCAGTGCTGAAAGTCTGGCCCTCCCTATCACTCCATCATGTGGCAGATCTTAAACTTTGGTTTTTGTTCAAAGGACATGTAAGTCCATGTTAATCTTCCTGCTTGAGGGAAGGTAGTAGCAAAGTTGAAAAGCTGAATCTCTTCCTATTTTAGCAGTTCCAAGTATCTGGGCTTCATGTGAGGCAAGGGGGCGGTACCAAAAATGAGCAGGGCGAGCTCTAAGCCATTGCATACAGGAGCGGGGCTCTTTAAAGCTCTCCGAAAAGGAAAGAGAGAATCTCTCTACCTGAATCATTTGCCTAGAAAATAAAGAAATGACTCAAGTCAGGACAGTCCTGCCACCTGGGGTGGATGTGAACTGCCCTGCACTCCTCTCTCTATCCTTGTACCGTGATGAAGGCCATGGGAGAACCAGCAATGGTTTACAGAGGCAGCGGTGGCCAGTTCATTACTTATCTGTCAGGGATGAAAGGCCAGCTTGGGCATGTAGAGGCCCAGAGGCAAACCTAAGAATTACAGAGACGCACACTGGAAAGCCTATTCAGAGGCAGACGGCAAATTCTAAGTTTTAGTTACAGCTAATCTGTTGAATCTCTTAAGCCCAGCCTAGAACTGCCACAATCCTCCAAACGCTTTCATCCTTCTAAGGGGCATTGCCATTCAATGAACAGCCTAGGTGTATGCATCCCTGGTCTCTGGTCTCACTAAAAACCAAGAGCCCCCTTACGTCCAAGACACCTGTCCACAGAGCACGAAGGATGATGAGTTCTCCGCCTGGATTTTAGAGCTCAGGTCACTTTGGACGGTCTAATATGTCCAACCTACCTTACAGTGCTAACTTCTATTGTTGAAATAATCTTTTGCTATCAAGCCTGAGACTTTACACAACTTTACTTTCAAAGATAATTCTCCTAACCTAACATCGATAGGACAAATTGGAAATCTTCTTTTCTTAGAAGCTGTCATGGATTTAGGCCGTTTTCCTCTCTGGCTGAGGGCATACACTTGTGTGAGTGCAGGCTGACCCAGAAGGCTAACTAGCCAGGCTTGTTAGCAGTCCTCAAACCAACTGAGCTCGATAGCCAGCCAGTGGTGGGAGGACAAGAAGAATGAAGAGGGTGACTCATCAATGGAGATTCCATTCCTGCACTCTTGAACAGTGACCCTCAACAAGGTGAGGGGCGGTTTCTAAACACATATTCAAAATTACCATTACTTTTGTTTTCAGCCATGAAAAACAGGAGAATAAACTCTTCTGTTTACCAAGGTGGCAAAAAAGAGCTAAATACTGCTCTGAAAGAAATGTCACTGATCCGCATCCTAAAGCATAGCAAGTCATCTATAAGAAAGCAGCCCAGCTCCAGGTGCTCAGCACTGGCGCGCATCAAAATGTATACGAGATCTGAAGACAACCACTGGCGGTGCTCGTAACACACAGGGACCCTGGCGACTTGCTCCCTTTTTGTACCTCAGCTCCATCTCTAACGGGGATTACAACCCCCGCCTTTTTTTTTTTTTTAAATCTCACGAGAATGTTGTAAGGTTCAAATGCAAGAGAAGAAGTGCTGTGAAAACTGCCAAGTTCTATAGAAATATCATTATAGGCAAAGAGCCCTAATCTTATACGGTTAGAGAAGAATATTAACTTTCCTATCTTAAAACTAATCAGAGAATTACCATATATCAGCACACCTACCCGAGCGGGTATATGTGGGGAGAAGAGGTGTATGGTGTAAGTAGGTCTTTTCTGGACATCAAATTCATTTTGGGCAGGAGGTGAGGGCGACCGGGGACAAAAGCCGATACTTAATCATTTGTGAGCCGGTATATCTTTGGAATTACTTTTAATTTAAAAACCTTGTAAAAGGAATGAGCTTTTCCTAAAAGCCTAGTGTTCTCTGGCTCTAACAAGTATTAACTCTCTTTACAAAAACTGCCCTAACTTTATAGCTCCCTGACTCATTTAAGTTTACTGCAGTTTCAAA